CTCCAACACTTTGATCCAATTTTTGCCTTCTATTTTATGCTTATTTATTTATTTTACTTACTTTCTTGTTGACTAGCATGTTTTCTTGGCTATTTTTACGTCCTCCTAATAAAGTCAAATGATTGAGAGATGTAAGGGTGGAGACTTTAGCACAGGTGAAAAGGACGAACCTTGTAGGAGGAGGAATCATCTGATTGGCGACGGAAACTACAAAGAGAAGAAAAGTTTGACAATGTAAACTTCGCTTATCACAAGGAGAGGCATGCATGTGTGGCGAAGCAGGTGCCTTTAATTGGTTGACGTGACAGGCGTATTCTTTCGGTGACTCAGGGGTATGATGGCAAGGTGGCATCGCTACCCGTGGGATCACCTGCGCTACTCTACTCTGTGCAACAATCTCTTAGGACCTCATGCCAATATGTTTCAAAAAAATGGTTTTTTTATCATCTGCCATGCACAAATGGCAATTTTAAACAAATATTGAGAAATTTATTTTGGCCTAAAAAGTTCTCACCAGGAATGGTGATTGCAGCTGCCGCAGCATTTCGATGCCGCTGCCTGACGGACAGAAAGCTCTCCGCATATCCTTGTTGAGCCCCTCTTTGATGACCCTTTGAGTTCTTTCCTTCACTTGTCATCCCTCCTTCCGCTTCCGCCTCTCCCTCTCCTTCACATGTCCCTACCCTTGGCAGGGGGTCCGATTTTGTGCTCCCCTCGCCCCCGGGGTCGCCGACACTGGAGGTAGCATTTGAACCCAATCGTCCAACATCAGTGAGAAAGCTGGTCGAGAAATGGTGCCGATGGTGACTCATCCGTCTGGGCTCGGGTGAGCCCGGGTTGATGATACTAGGTGGTGAGAAGTCGAGAGAACCCTTTCCCACGACGTGAGGAGGATCTTGAAATCCCGGCGGGGGTGGTGGCGTGAGATCTGCAAGATTTCCTGTCATCGTCGCCTCCTGCTCTTCCTCTATTGACAGCGGTTGTGCAGCTGAATAATGGCAAATTAATATGTTAAAGTTTTTTCTTCGAAGGCTATACATTAAGTGTGACGTGACAATGCAACAACAGGATGAAATACATGTTTAAAATATCTACTTCGGTGAAATCCTACTGGTTCTCCCATCTATCAGTGAAAATGAGCCTCCTGTTATCGAAAACTGCCATTCCGCAATTGAGTAAAAGAACACTAAAATGCAATAAATTCTCTTATTATTTGAGCCTGTTAGAACACTTTCACCAATTCTGCCTAGAAAACAAGAAATGCATTGACATAACACATTGCCCTACTGATGCAACAATAGAGAGTACCTAGATGGCTTGGAGAAGAAAGTAGATGTTGCTGTTGCTGTGACTGGCGAATTCGGGTGAGAGAATCAGTTCCTACTGACTGGTCTTCATTGCGTTTTGACAGTGCTCTTCGAAGACGCTCAATGGCCAGGACTAATTTCTTCTGGTGACCTAAAAAACGCGAAATATTATGATCGCTTATTGAAATCTCTTCGGTATTTAAGGAGGTAGAACAAGATTTGCAAAACTCAATAAACTACAAAGAGCTGATTGGCTCAAAGGAACCAATCAGAAGACAGGCCAGCCACATTTGATTGGCTAAAAAGCCTGAAGACTCACCCAATTTCATGATGCCAATTTCTTCAAGGTCCTCCCACGTCAGGACGGCAACCTTCTCGAAAGTGGTTAGTCCTTGCGTCTGGAAGGCTGGCCAATAACTAGTCAGATTGAGTATCGACAACCACTCAAATACGCAGGACTGAAAGGGAAGTCAGAAAAGGGCCCACTTAAGCGCTAATGGCTGGTTTCCTTATATAAAACCCATTTCATCTTTAAGGCAGCATTTGCAGTTAAATGCTGAAATACGGGATATTCAACGGAAAATTTTAAGAAAATCGTAAAAAAAGGTGCTAAAGAGGTTTCGCTTAGTGTTTCCAAAAATATTTATTGCGTCTGTGTTGACCATGTGTAAAG